GGCTTCGTACTATAAGGCCGCGCGTCGCCTGCTTATTATTGATGGCCATAGGAGCCACAATCTCTAGAGTGCAGGAGCTCTGTAAGGAGAACAATATCCATACGCTCTGTATGCCTCCTCACTCATCTCACCTACTCCAGCACTTGATGTTGGCTGCTTCTCGCCATTAAAGCGCGCGTATAGCCGTGAGGTGGAGAGCCTCATGCGCAACCACATCAACCACATCACCAAGCTAGAGTTTCTGCCTGCGTTTAAGGCTGCGTTTGATCGAGCGTTCACGCCAGCTAATATCTACTCAGCCTTCCGCGGCGCAGGCCTTGTTCCTCTACAACCAGAGGCTGTTCTATCAAAGCTAGATGTACAGCTGCGTACACCTACTCCTCCAGCAGCTCTACCAGATGCTCCCTGGGTAGCTCAAACGCCGAGCAACGCGCGTGAGCTTGAGGCTCAGTCAAGCCTTATACGTGAGCGCGTGCGCCAGCATAAGAGCTCATCACCAGCTTCGATCATTGAGGCGATTGACCAGCTGAAGAAGGGCGCTGAGGTGATGATGCTGTCTGCTGAGCTGATGCGCGATCGGATCTCTAGTCTTGAGAAGGCTAACAGCGCAGCCTCAGCGCGTAGGCAGCGCTCTAAAAGGCGTATACAGAAGCATGGAGTACTCACAAAGGGAGCTGGAGAGGATATACTAGCTCAAAATGAGGCTGACCAGCAGATTGCTCATGAAGAGCGTCAAGGAGGAGCGCGATCAGGCCTTAGCCAGCGCGCTCAAAGGCGCTGCACCAGGTGCAAGGAGACTGGGCACAACTCGCGCACATGCAACACTAATACTCTTAATATAGAGTAATCTACTGTATCAATATCTAGCAATAATATTATCGCGTTGTTGAGATAAGTCGCTTTGAAGTTACAAAAGTTGGTGGGGTGGCCCACTCGCTTGCCTGGCCCACTCGCTTGCCATCCACGTTATAGGTGTTTACTATCTACCCTAGCAATAACTTCTTAGCTACTATTTACTATCGTAAGTTGCTGTAAGTAAATCTTTATCTTTAAGTTAACTTGCAGCCTAGTTTCTAAACTATTAATAAGTACTTTTACGTATTGAATAAGACTAAGTAGTAGCTATACGAACTATATGTTTAATCTCTCCTTAGCTCTTATACTTATAGTGCGAAAACTCGCGGTTTCTCTTCTACTAAAGCCGATAACTTCTTAGATATATACGAAGAGGCATATAGTCGCTATATAAAAGCTAGTGTAAAGCTTGCTTATAAGACTTATTCTTAAGTCTACTATAGTATAAAGCTCCTTTATAACAGCCTATATAATAACTACTTATATACTAGTAGCACTTAGGCTTACTCTTTTAGACGTAAGTTCCTAAAGATCCCTTAGATCTTATGTTCCTCGCCTTTTTTAACTCTTACTAACTTTCTATTTTTTTTAGGAACTAACGTTATTACCTAGGATGTAAAAGCTTCTAGTGCTACTAAAGGCCTTTTAGTATTAAATATTCTTAGTCTTTTTACTACTAGACTTAATACTTAGGCCCTTACTTACTCTACTCTATCTTTCACGCTAACTCTAAGTACTCCTTAGAAAGATAAGGCTTCTTTTATAGAGAGTTCTAGAAGCAACGCCCACTACTAGAGTGATTACCGAATTACTATTTATAAGGGCGATTTAGTTTTAAACTAGCCTTCTTTATCTTCTAATGCCTTATCTTCTACTCCTTCTAATAGAGATTTATCTTCTAATTCTACTAAAGATAAGGATCTTAAGGAAGATCTAACTCCTTAGATAAGGGCGCTAAAGCGGGTTTAGAGATATTCTCTAGTAGCTAAGCCTACGCCTACTACTCCTCTATTCTGTCGCTCCGCTCGCCTCGCTTAAGTCCTAATAGTTAATCTTAAGTTATCTAATAACATACCTCACGGGCGAGCCGCCACTACGGGCGAGCCACCAGTTTTTGCCAAGCCCCCACCACACTCCACCCTATTCTAGCGCATAACAGCCCACTTTAGCCCTTTATAGTATAATACAATACGAGATATTATTTAGAGTCTACTTCTACTACTTACTTACACGTACGCGCGTTATGTTCGGTCTAATTGCACCGTCCACACTATCTTTAAGTTAGCTCACCTCCTTTAGCGCGCACCCGCGTCTTTAGCTTCTTCCTATTACTACGCGCCCTAAACTCCTTTAAAGCAGTTAGACGAGCCCTATCCTTAACTATTAAGGTCCTAATTGCCTAAATCTACTTCCTTTTATATAATCTACGTCGCGTAGCAGCATTATTTGCCGCTTAAAGCTCTACAATCTCCTTTTGCGCTAATACTAGCTTATGCGCGATAATCGCTGCCCCCTTTAAGCCTTTCTTAAAGGCCTCTACTATAGACGTTAGTAAGCTATCTATATACCTCTAAATCCTCGCCTTTATAAGCGTCGATTATAACCCTAATTTTAGAGTATCACTTAGGGT